GACCTTTTTTCTGCATGGAGCAAGAACTCATCAAGTCGGGCAGTTGCCGAGGCAGCATGGGGAAGCGGAGATGCCCATGTCCAATCAATCGACACGCGCCAACCGTGGCCGCAGGCTGTTGGGGCCCGCGGCGCCCCACACTTGCCCTTCGGATTCGCCTCGAAGCCAAGCCCGAGCGCGCTGTGAACCCGGGGGCTACTGTCGGCATTCTGGGAACGGGGGTCCCCAGACTTGCCTGCCTACGGCCTGCGGCATGGCTCCATCAGCGGCCCTGTACATCTCATCTTCACCAACAAACACTCAAGACCCTCGCGAGGGGCCAAGACTCGCGAGGCGGACGACGCAAGACCTCCTCAAGGGCGGCCTCACCAGGCTGGCTTGCGAGGGGCGGAGAGATCAAGCAAAGGTACACCTCGCGAGGTTCCAGTGACGCAAGCCATGATGACTGGAGCCAGGCGGGCGCCAACGCGCGTAGTGTCCTCGTTTCCTCTTTGGTGCTAAAGAGACAAGCGCAGGCGAGGAGTCCCAGGGCATTAGGCAAAGGTTTCCATATCGGTGCAACAAGACCAAGACCAGCAGGACATCAATACGGAGGTCACCGTGGAGCCCAAGACGGCGTCACCACCAGAGCCTTTGGAAGGCGAAGACTACTTTTGTCAGGATAGCTTGTACTGGTTGTCCCCCTTCAAATTGGTCATTGTGGGATCCCTTCCCGCCTAATATTTGGGAAGAGGGCCCGGACCTCTATATATAGGACTAGCCACCACCTCAGGAGATAGCGTCAACTCACCAAGCACAAGAACACCCCACCTCAGGAGGTTGTTCTTCCCTTGTAACTGTTCATCCTCAGCCCAAGAGGCAATCCACCACACCACACTGGAGTAGGGCATTACACCACATCGGTGGCCCGAACCAGTATAAACTCTTGTGTCTCTTATTCTTTGGGTTCCTCGAGCTAGGCCGTGAAATCACGATGTGTGCGAGCTAGAGGGGGGGAGATCTTTGTGCGCACCCCAGTGTTCGAACCTCAAGGGTTTTGCCGGAACCCAAAATCCGACAATGATCTAGGGTCATTTCGAACAAATCAGGTCGGGTTGCCTCCTGGCTATAAATAGCCCACCCCCTACACCATAAATTGGTGGCTGCTCAGAGTTAGTGCACGACTTTTGTCGTTTGAGAGCAACCCACCTCCGAAGCGTTTGAGAGAGTTCCTGGTGAGGACAAAGCCCAAAACACCCAGAGCCAAAGAGTGTTAGACATCACTAAAGTCTTTCTGTCTGCGTGATTTGAAGACTTGTTACACTTGAGGACTGTGAATCCTCCAGCCGGTTAGGCGTCGCGTTCTGAGCATCCAAGAGTCATTGTGGATTGCCGGTGAACGAAGTCTGTGAAGGTTTGGAAGTCTACCTTGAAGACTTACCAGAGTGATTGGGCGAGGAATGTGTGTCTTTAGCTCAAGGAGAATAAGGTGAAGACGCGGTCTTCTGAGTTGAATCTCAGCCTCCCTAACCAGACATACAGCTGTCACAGCAACTGGAACTGGTCTACCAAATTCGTGTCCTCTCCAGGCAACTGGTTCTATCCTTCTCATCTCTTTACTTTACAGTTGTATTCATGAAGTCATTGCCTGCTTGCATGATCTGATTGGCTTCACTATGTGAAGACTGTTCGCTATCTTCATACTATCTTCCATCCCGATCCATACTACCTAGCTGCTGATAGTCTTCGTACTTTCACTTCATTGCTTACTAGACTGTGGCTTGTCTAGTGTAGTCTACCTTCCGTTACATAACAATAGGTTCATTTCTATCGTTTGTCTTCAAAGCCCCCGTGTTTTGAAGTCTTTTATAAAAATCGCCTATTCACCCCCCTCTAGTCGATAACTAGCACTTTCACGGTCGCTGCCATTACCCTCTATAGCCGCCATCTCCATCTCCAAAACCATCTCCATCTCTGTAGTCTTCGTACCCACAGCCACAACCGTAAACTTGTAATTAAGTGTACTTCACATACAACGACATTGTAAGACTATTGCCAATCATTCATCTTCAAGTACCATCTACAATGTCTTTTGCATGTGATCTATATTTATGGTGTGTGAGTAATCCCCTCAGGCTAAGGGTTGCGGCATAGCCTTGGAGCCCATGTATTCTCATTGTATCGTTGGTTTACTTTAAAGTAATGTTATTTCTATGTGTTATGTGTCACACACCAATCCACATAATTGATGCATCGCATGTGGCAGCCCAGGAATCACTGTAGCACGAGCCTTAATAAATCTTGACATCACAACACACACATACAACTATAAGGGTTCATACAGTTCTTAATGTAAGGCTTGATACAACAAGCTCCTAAGAATAGAGTAACTTATCATATTACAATGGAAGACTTTAACTGGGGCACCCATGGATTTGGATGGACTCCATTCCGAAAGGCTCTAGCTGGACCACTACTCCCTAGCACACTCTCGACCAGTTCCTTTCGACAGAAGGAAGATGAATCCTTGCTTCACACCCGACCACAAAAATGAGCCAGTGAGTACTTTGAAAGTACTCGCAAGTAAACCCAAAATAACAATATAACAGTATCACTAAGCGAAGTAATATATGGCATGGAAACAATATCATTACAATTCTAGCAATCATGACATGGCATACCTTATCTAGCAAACAAGAAGATAAAGCATACAGATAATTATATAATGTTTCAATTGTTTGTGATGATCATCCTGAGATCATAAACAAACTCTCATGGTCCCCAAGACCAACATTTCTCACGCTTGGTTCCTCAACAGCCAAATGGATTTGGCAAAGATATTTTGGAAATGCTCTTCAAATAACAATGTTTACCCATCCATGCACGTGTACATGCTTCATGAGTAACCACCAAGTCCAGATCTCTTCAGGACTCAAGCACAAAAATTTCTTCTGGCTAATTCTAGATGACAGTCTAAATACTAGAGCTATGTACATGCTTCTCTGGGTAACCACCAAGTCCAAATCTCTTCAGGACTCAAGCACAAAAATTTCTTCTGGCTAATTCTAGATGACAGTCTAAATACTAGAGCTATCTACATGCTTCTCTGGGTAACCACCAAGTCCAGATCTCTTCGGGACTCAAGCACAAAAATTTCTTCTGGCTAATTCTAGATGACAGTCTAAATACTAGAGCTATGTACATGCTTCTCTGGGTAAC